TCACAGCTCACAGCAACCTCTAGCTCTTGGGCTTAGGCGAGTCTCTTGCCTCAGCCTCCTGAGTAGCTGGGACTATAGGCCCCTGCCACAACACCTGGCTATTTTTTGTTGCAGTTTGGCTGGGGCCGGGTTTTTTTTTTTTGAGGCAGAGCCTCAAGCTGGGTAGAGTGCAATGGCATCATGCGGTAGCATCACAGTTCACAGCAACCTCCAACTCCTGGGCTCAAGCAAGTCTCCTGCCTCCGTCTCCCAAATAGCTGGGACCACAGGTGCCTGCCACAATGCCTGGCTATGTTTTTTGGTTGCAGCCATCATTGGTTGTTTGGTGGGCCTGGGCTGGATTCGAACCCTCCAGCTCAGGTTTATGTGGCTGGCACCTTAGCTGCTTGAGCCACAGGCGCCGAGCCGCTGGGGCTGGGTTTGAACCTGACCCCCTTGGTATATGGAGCCAGCGCCCTACTCACTGAGCCCCAGGTGCCACCTGGTGCTTAAGTCTTTTTCTTGGTTGAGTTTGGCATCTTGGAAAGCCAGAAGGAACAATAATCTCTGAACTCTGTTTAGAATTATATTTGTATCATTTTCACTAACAGTAGCTCCTGTAGGTATGTTCTGGATAAGTATTATTTCCAGCTGAGGAGTGGGGAGGTTAAATAAGCTTGATTTCTCTGCCAGTAAGTGTAAGTGGCAGAGCTGAGACTTAAACCCATGTTCCTTTTTTTTTTTTTTTTTCCTTTTTTGAAAACAGTCTCAGTCTGTTGCCCAGGCTTGAGTGCTATGGCATCATAGCTCACAGCAACCTCAAACTCTGGGGCGATTCTCTTGCCTCAGCTTCCAGAGTAGCTGGGACTACAGGTGCCCACCACAACACCCAGCTATTTTTAGAGATGAGGTCTCCCTCTGGTTCAGGGTGGTCTCGAACTCGTAAGCACAGGAAATCCACTTGCCTTAGCTTCCCAGAGTGCTAGGATTACAGGCATGAGCCACTGTACCTGGATTAAGGCTGGTCTTGAACTCTTGAGCTCAAGGAATCCTCCCAGAGTGCTGGAATTATAGGTGTAAGCCACCATGCCTGGCCCAAACTCATGTTTCTGATTTTGTGCCTTGCTCTCAGCAATGTATCATGGGGGATCTAGTCAGGTAGAAAGCCTGGACAAACAGCTCAGCTATGGTGTGCTACAAAAGCATGAACAGTGGAACTGGTTTGGGTCCTGGTTCCCATTAGTCCTAGCTATTGTTTAATCTCTCTGATCCTTATTTCCTTTGCCCATAAAATTGAGATAACACACATAATGCTTACCTTGAAATATAAGGGTTAAATTATAAATTATGAATGAATCACCTGATATGTAGGAGGTCCCCAATAGATGTTTATTCCTGTCTTTGTCACCCTTTCCTTTATCCCTCAAATTTAGGTACAAAGACAGATTTCCCTCATGGATTTTTTTGACAGTAGTTAATAAAAATTGTCACATACTGGCTACTGGGAGGTAGCCTTTGCTGTTGCTATCAAGAGTAGAGAATATACACTTGAAAAATGTCATGTTTACAGAGCAAGCACAGATGGACCAGAGTTAATATGATGCCACCTCAAACAAGTGAATGATGCAGGGACACAGGCTGAGAAAGAGCCAGGTGAGACTCATCAGAGAGATTGCCCAGCAGCTCTGAGTCAGGAAGTCTGGAATGCAGACTGACAGAGATGGCAGTGACACGGGCACAGTGGTGGGTGTAACAAGGGGATGGACTTAAGTGAAAGAAAGCACAAATGGAGAAACAGCAGATTCTTTAGGAAATAGAGAAACACTTTTATTTTAAATTGACAATATTTTTGGTTTTTTATTTTGAGGTGGGGTTTTACTGTGTTGCTCAGGTTGATCCTGAACTCCCAGGCTCAAGTTATCTTCCTGCCTCAACCTTGCGCGTAGATGGGACTACAGACATGAATCACTGCACCTGAGTTAAATTGACTACTTTAACCCCCCTCCCCCCCTTAAGTTGACAATTGTATTTGTGGGGTATAAATTGATGTTATGACTCATGAATAGGTGTCGAATCGTTAAATCAAGCCAATTAACATATTTGGTACCCCCAATGTTTATTTTTTTGTAGTGAGAACATTTGAAATTTCTCAACTTTTTTTTTTGTGTGTGGAGATAGGTTTTACTGTCACCTGAACTAGGGTGCTGTGGCATCACCGTAGCTCACAGTAACCTCAAGCTCCTGGGCTCAAGCCTGCTGAGTAGCTGGGACTACAGGTGCCCGATACCACACCCAGCTAATTTTTCTATTTTTTGTAAAAATGGTGGTGTGCCTCTTGCTCAGGCTGGTTTGAACTGGCCTTAAGTGATCTACCTTGGCCTCCCAGAGTGCTAGGATTACCTGTGCCAGGCCTGTCTTAGCAATTTTGAAATGTATTCTGTACTATTAACTGTATTCGCCACATTATGCAATTGATTTAAAAAAAAAAAAAACCACCAATGGGTGGCACCTATGGCTCAAAGTAGGGCGCTGGCCCCATATGCTGGAGGTGGTAGGTTTAAACCCAGCCCTGGCCCAAAAAAAAAAAAAAAACCCACCAAATTTATTACTTTTGTATGATATTTGATATATCCTTTGACCATGATCTCCCCATTCCCCCCACATCCCTCTAGCTTGTATTGCCCCACCCCCCCCACATTCTACTCTTTGCTTCTCTGAGTTTGGCTGGTTTAGATTCCATGTGTAAGTGATCAGTACAGCTGGCATTTGTCTTTCTGTGTCTGGCTTATTTCATGTAGCATAATGTTCTTCAGTTCCATCTGTGTTGTTGCAGATGACAGAATTTCCTTCTTTTTATTTTTATCTTTTTTGTCACCTGTAGTATCTAAAGAACCTTGTTTTTAAAGGCCTAATACTGTTCTTCTGTGTATCTATAAAACATTGACTTTATCCGTTTATCCACTGATGGACAATTTGGTTATTGTGAATAGTGCTGCAGTGACCATGGGAATGCAGATATCTTTTTGACAAACTGATTTCAAATCTTTTGGGTAAATACCTGGAAGTAGGATTGCTTGATCATATAGGTTTCCATATAGGCTGTACTAATTGAGGGGATGTATGAGCCATAATCAGTGCTCTTCATTATAGTTAAGTACTTCTCATTCTTCTTACTGGGTTTTATGTTCTTTCAGGGCATGTTCTTTTTTCATGTGGTAGTGATCTTTGGAGCACACTGGGTTAATGGTCTAGGTTGCACCTGTGGAGACTAGTGGTCATGGGCCCATTGCCCCAAGCCTTGCCTGAGATGCCATTTGGGAGACTGTATAGTACTTAGGGTAGTGTCTTGAATATAGTAGGTAATTATGATCAAAAGATCTTTGTAACAGACAAAAGGAACTTGTGAGATACGAGAAAAGCAGGCAGGCAGACAGTTTGAGTTTTTACAGCGAATGGAATGTTAGATTCTTGCTTTTTACAGGCCCTGGGAACAAATGGAAACATTTAAGGTGCTTGGTTTGGCAAGTAATTTTTATTTAATTAATTTATTTATTTATTTTGAGACCGAGTCTTACATTGTTGCCCAGGCCATAGTGCCATGGTTTCATAGTTGATAGCAACCTCAAACTCTTGGACTTAAGCGATCCTCTTGCCTCAGCCTCCCAAGTAGTTGGGACTACAGATGCCCGCCAAAACGCCTGGTTAGTTTTTCTATTTTTATTTTATTTATTTATTTTTTAGAGTCAGAGTCTCACTTTATCGCCCTTGGTAGAGTGCGGTGGCATCACAGCTGACAACAACCTTCAACTCCTGGGCTTAGGTGATTCTCTTGCCTCAGTCTCCCGAGTAGCTAGGAGCTCAGGCGCCTGCCTCAACACCTGGCTATTTTTTTGTTGCGATTTGGCCAGGGCTGGGTTTGAACCTGCCACCCTCAGTATATGGGGCTGGTGCCCTACCCACTGAGCCACAGGCACCGCCTGATTTTTTTTTTTTTTTTTTGAAGCAGAGTCTCATTCTGTTGCCCTGGGTAATTGCAATGGCATTATCATAGCTCACAGCAACCTCAAATTCTTGGGTTCAAGAGATCCTCTTGCCTTACCCTCCCAAGTAGCTGGGTCTATAGGTGCCCACCACAAGGCCTGGCTAATTTTTCTGTTTTTAGTAGAGATGGGGTCTCACTCTTGCTCATGCTAGTCTTGAGCTCTTGAGCTCAGGCAGTCTACCTGCCTTGGCCTCCCAGAGTGCTAGGATTACAGATGTGAGCCATTGCACTTGGCCTAAAGTTTGGATATTTTTTGCTGTGAGAGCTTGTCTCAGGAACAGTTCTGATGAATCATAAGGGTAACACAGATGACCTCCATCCAGTCTTGCCCCAAATCCTCACAGTCGTCTGCCTGCCTTCTTCCTGTGAGCAGTTCTATGTGGCAGACTATAGATCATACTTGAAGATAGAATGGATTTCTCAAGTGGCTTTGACCTTTAATGCCTCATAGAAGAGTAGTTAACACATCATTTAGTCCCACTGGATTTTCTCAGCCCTGTGGTTATGTAGTCTATGTAAGTGGTTTTAAAAGTGAAGCTGAGATTGGGTGAGATTGTGGGCCAAATCCCATTCATCTTCCAGTGGACAGATTTATAGGAAGAGGAATGAACATAGCTTTTTCTTTCCATGAAGGACCAAATAGGAAGAAATATTGTTGATTTAACAGAAAAGAAATTGATGCCGTGGAGGCTATGCCACAGGTGTGGAGGAAGGGGAGCTGTAGGGAATCAGTGGCTAAGGGAGGTCAAGGCATACCTGGTTCTCTGAAGCTATTCGAGATCAGGAAGGGAGCTCTGCTGTTGAATGGGGCATGGGGTGGGTACTCCTCTGCACAGAGATGGGGCACAGACAAGATGGCCTCAGTGGGGCAACTCTTTAGATGGCTTCCTCCATTGTCCCAGAAGTGTTTCCACCACTTAATGTGTTTCCTGCGCTGCCTCTAAGCAGTGAAGCCTTATTCCATTTCTTTTTCTCTTAGTCAGATTCCGAGGAGGATGAACCCACAAAGAAGAAAACTGTCCTTCAGGTAAGTTTTATTACTTCTCTTCCCATGTGGTTTCCTGAAATACAGGACTTATAATGCCCAGCAGTTTTCAAACCAGTTTTAGAGCAGACACAAGTATTTGAGGACTATTCAGCTTTGGTCTGTTTTCCTTCATGACTTTAAACCTTGTGCACCTCTGTCCTCTCTTCACTTTTCTGGCTTTTGCATGATGGTGTTTCCTTTCCTAGAGCACAGGCAGTGGTAGGGAGATTAATCATAACTCAATTCAGATCATTACATTTCATGTAAAAGGATTATTTAGGAAGGGTAGAAGAAATGGATTGATCAAAATGATGTTAGGGACCATCTATATTTGAAAATTGTCCATCTTCTTCCTGTCCTTATTAACCTGGAAAATGAACATTAAATAGCATGTACTGTTCTACGTGCTTTACCATCATCTAACTGATTTCATCTTCGTGATAGTGCCTAAGTCATAGAGTTATCATTACCCTCATTTCACATATGAGGAAACTAAGGAACTTGCCCAAGGTCAGACCACTAGTGTGGGCAGGGCTGGGATTCAGATTCAGGTGGTCTCACTATTGAGTCCAAGGTCTGATGGCTGCACTTGGCTCCTTCATAGTAAAGAGCAGAAGTCCTGTCTGGGACATGCTAGTAGATGATCTCCCTGCTGTCTGCTTCTGTTTCCCCTCCTCTTAGTATCATTATTCTGTCCCCCAGGAGTTTCCTTCTGCTCTTTCCACACTTACTGATTTATATACTCTGACCTCATGTTGATGATGTCTCAGGGAAAAGCAAAAGCAGTCCTGTTTTTAAAAAGTAGTTGTCTCATGATCAAGGTCTGTGGTGCTGAAGCTGCCCCTTCCCCTGACGGTGTTAAAGTGTCACTGGCATTTCTGGTCAGTCTTAAAAGGACATGGTTTGTAAGATAACCAGTGAGGAGGGTAGTGTGTCTGTATCCACAGTGAGTGTTAAGGAAGAGTCTTAGAAGAAGCTGGCATGTTGAGACTGAGTAAGGCCAGTCCTGTCATCAATGGAGGAGGTACACTGATGCCGAAGGAATCTCACAAGTGAGACCAGTCTTCCAGACAGTAGGGAGAGATGAGCAGATAGAGGAATTCTGAGCTTTTAAGGCAAGGGGGACTCAGCACTGTAGAGGACCTATGGAGCCGTGATCCTAGATATCTGCTAAGAAGTCAGACACTTTGAGAGACATACGCAGCCTGGCCCCTCAGGGTGCTCCGTATAAGCCTGAGTGTCTGGGTGCTGCCAGGCTGGACTGATCCAAATCTCTGGACATAGACAATGGAGAAGATTCCACTCCCTGGATGAGCAGTTCTACCTGGGCTGTTTGACTCAAGTCTTATTTTATTCATTCTGGGCATTTTTTGGCTGAGCGTGTTAGAATGTGTTGGTACTCTAGGAAAGCGACATAGTGACTTATTCCATTTCTTTTTCCAGTTGGCAACTCCCTTAGCCCTACATTTAGGCCAAGTTGGCCTTTTAGCATACAGAAAGCAGAATCTGAGGGATTCTTAGCAGTATTAGGAATTCGGGGTGGCTGGGCCAGCTAGCTTACAAATTGATAAATTCAGCACATGACTCTGGCATTAACAAGCTAATAAAGCACATCTGTATGTCTTTACCTGGACAGGCAAGGGAGCTTTTGAGATTTTTCTTTTTTCTTTTTTTTTTTTTTTTTTTGAGACAGAGCCTCAAGCTATCACCCTGGGTAGAGTGCAGTGGCATCACAGCTCGCAGCAAGTTCCAACTCCTGGGCTCAAGCGATTCTCCTGCCTCTGCCTCCCAAGTAGCTGGGACTACAGGGGCCCACCACAACGCCTGGCTATTTTGTGGTTGCAGCCGTCATTGTTGTTTGGCGGGCCCAGGCTGGATTCGAACCTACCAGCTCAGGTGTATGTAGCTGGTGCCTTAGTCACTTGAGCTACAGGCGCTGAGCCAGATTTTTCTTTTTTTTTGAGACAGAATCTCACTGTGTCACCCTTGGTAGAGTGCTGTGGTATGCCAGCTCACAGCAACCTCAAACTCTTGGGCTTAGGTGATTCTCTTGCCTCAGCCTCCCAAGTAACTGGGACTATAGGCACCTGTCACAACTCCCAGCTGTTTTTTTGTTGTAGTTGTCATTGTTGTTTAGCAGCCACAGCCAGGTTTGAACCCTCCTGCCTCAGTGTATATGGCCTGCGTCCTAACCACTGATTTACGGGCACTAAGCCTTTTTTTAAGACAGTCTCATTGTGTTGCCTAGGCTAGAGTACAGTAGCCTTAGCCCTGCTCAGAGCAACCTCAAACTCATGGGCTCAAGTGATCCTCCTGCCTCAGCCTCCTAAGTAGCTGGGACTACTGCCATGATGCCTGGCTTATTTTTCTTCTTTTCTTTCTTTCTTTCTTTCTTTTTTTATTTTTTTGAGACAGAGTCTCACTATGTTGCCCTTGGTCAAGTGCTATGATGTCATAGCTCACAGCAACTTCAAACTCTTGGGCTTAAGCGATTCTCTTGCCTCAGCCTCCCAAGTAGCTGGGACTACAGGCACCCACCACAATGCCTGGCTTTTTTTTTTTTTTCAGTTTTTGGCCAGGGCCGGGTTTGAACCCGCCACCTCTGGTGTATAGGGCTGGTGCTCTACTCCTTTGAGCCACAGGCGCCACCCTCCCCTGGCATTTTGTTGTTGTAGTTGTTATTGTTTAGCAGGCCCGGGCCAGGCTTGAACCTCCCAGCCCTGGTGTATGTGGCCAGAACCCTAACCACTGAGCTATGAGCACTAAGCCAGGCTAATTTTTCTATTTCCAGTAGGGATGAGCTCTCACTCTTCCTCAGACTGGTCTTGAATTCCTGAGCTCAAGTCATCCCCCTACTTCAGCCTCCTAGTGCGCTGGGATTACAGGTGTGAGCTATTTCAACCTGGCCAATTTTTTTTTTTTTTTAAATACACCATACATACATTCCTTTTTTGGCTGGTAAAACCACCTCTGAATGTATGATGGCACAAAATATACTAAAATAATGTATTTTTGTAAAAAGCAATAGTGTTAGTAGATTATTCTCAGGAGATCTGCAAGCTGAGTAACTCTGAGAAGAACTGAAGATGATTTTGCAAAATCTCTTTGTTGGCTAATGTTGGGTTCTGTGGCCTTAATTAAAAATAACTATAGTACTCAAGTTTAAAGGGGACTTTTCAGCTGAAGCCCAGGCTTCAATTTTACACATGGGAAAAGAAGAAGGAAATCCTGCCCTTTTTGCTTTAGGAGTGATAACAGAGTGATTTAAAGAGTTGGAAAAAACCGTCTTGAGCCCCTCTTAATCTCCGAACTCACTGCCTGCTTCTTGAACATGCTGGACCTCCTCTATTTTCTAGGTATCATTGGCAGCTGCTAAGAGGTCTGGGTTTGGTCAGCCTTTTGCCTCAGCCAGGGGAGGAGACTTTTGTCAACATGTATGAATGTCTCTGTGGACAGAGACTTTGTGTTTTCTCGATTTCGGGTAACAATCCAAAGGAAGGAGAGAGCTCCCTGTTAAGAGGTCCCTTTAGGATATGGAGACAGGTTGAGTGACAAGCTGGAGGTAGACCTCGGCTTTGTGTGAGGAAGGATGATAAAATATCAAGAGCTTTGTATTGGGAATTCTGGGAAGATGGCTTTGTATTTGCTGAAGACACAGAGTTGAAGAAAGTCCTATGGCAGAGGGCATTGGAGCTAAGTTGGGATGGAGTCAGGGAAAAGAGGAATGACATCTTACCTGAGGAGAAGCAGCCAGTAGAGCCACCTGAGGTAGGAGGAATTAAGCCCAGATTAGATGTCCTGAGTAGATGGAGGTAAGAAACAAACAAGAGCTAGTAAGATTTTGGGGCAGAGCACATGTCTGTAATTCTTGGTTTTGGTTTTGCTAGTATATAATAACATATCTCATTTGTCATTTTTCTTCCATCCTACCCCAACCTGGGCTCACCAGGGATCCAGCGAGGGGACTGGTCTGTCTGCCTTGCTTCCCCAACCTAAAAACCTGACTGTGAAAGAGACTAACAGGTTGCTCCTGCCCCATGCCTTCTCCCGCAAACCCTCGGATGGCTCTTCTGATACTAAGCCCTCTAGACTGGCTTCTAAAACCAAGACTTCCCCTCTTGCCCCTGTTGTGGGCACTACAACCACAACTCCGTCGCCCTCTGCTATCAAGGCTGCTGCCAAGAGTGCAGCTCTGCAGGTGACAAAGCAGATCACACAAGAGGAGGATGACAGTGATGAGGAAGTAGCCCCCGAGAACTTTTTCTCCCTCCCTGAAAAGGCCGAGCCACCTGGAGTCGAGCCATACCCTTACCCCGTCCCCACTGTCCCTGAGGAGCTGCCTCCAGGCACGGAACCAGAGCCGGCTTTCCAGGACGATGCAGCCAATGCCCCCCTTGAGTTCAAGATGGCAGCAGGCTCAAGTGGAGCCCCGTGGATGCAGAAGCCTGGGGATGACTACAGCTACAATCAGTTTTCCACATATGGCGATGCCAATGCCGCTGGTGCTTATTATCAGGTGAGCAGGAGGGATGGTGGGCAGGCTGGGAATATTGGAGCATGGTGATCAAGGAGAGCTTTGTGCCAGTAATATGGCTTCTGTATTAACTGAATTAATCTTCTGGTGTCTT